CTGCAAAAAGATTGCTGTTGGACCCTGCATGATATGAATTTAATTAGAGAAGAGAAAATTATTATAATTGCCTTATAAAGTAAAGATATTGTATAATTGTAAATTTGAAACACATGTGAATACTGCAGCTATCTCTTTCCCTGTCTATAGCATCCTTTACCACCCTTATTTTTTAATGTTTCAAACAAGTAAACAGTAAACACGCACTAATGAGTTTTTAAAAGTTCAGCTCTTTTCCTCTTCTCTGGCTTATCTTTCAGTGGCTATCGGTTAGGTTCACATGTTAGTTATTTAGATACCTTTTGATTTTCCAAGAGATCACTATACTGCTGGAGAATTTAATTTGATTTCTATAAAGTTCTCTGAGTTAGGCAGGATATGAAAGAACAAAGAATATTCTCTTCTCATTCAGTCTTTTTACAGTAGTATATATAGCATTCTTCTCCGAGTGGACACACACGTCAGAGAAGAACATTATTTTTTCCTTTTTTGTAGATTCAGTCCTCTTCTCTGGCTAATTAAAGCTTTTCTTTCTTTGCCATGGAATTTTAAGATTCTTTCTTTCTTTCTTTCTTTCTTTCTTTCTTTCTTTCTTTCTTTCTTTCTTTCTTTCTTTCTTATTAGCAGCAGGTTTTTGGAGATGGCTACAATTAACTCGGTCTTAAATCCATGGTCAGAAGGCTCTGTTGCAAAGATTTTCTTGCTGAAGTACTGTATGAAAAAAGCAGATCTCCTTCAGTGAGATCCAGTAACCTCAGATTAAATTTTCTTGCTCTGTCCCCCATGTCTTCCATTTTTTTCCTGGATTCTCTAGCAATTTTAGTTTATTTTACTAGTTTGAGCTTGAGCCAGGGGCGCTGGAACAATTTCTATAGTGGGGGTGCCGAGATCCATTGAACCAAACTGTAAACCTTGTATATAATGGAAACCACTTCAAGCCAGGAGGTGTGTCAGTGCCCCCAGCACCTTTATTTCCAGCAGCTATGGCTTGAGATGAAGATTCAGTGCCCTCAGTTTGACACTCCACCTATGCATTTCTCTCATGGAACTCCTCCATGCCATTTTTAGTATCATTTATTGTTTTATGCGCAGAAGTAATTTAGTCAGCAAGGAGGTTCATGCCTTTCTGAACTTCTTTTAGAAAAGTGTGTGGTGCAGCCTCTGTGTTTCCCAGGTGGGCCTCCCTACCCTATAGACGGGGCTTGGACAATCTGTAAGGGGTCAATTCAGTATCAAAACAAGATAGTGAACTCAGATATAAATAATTTTTATCTTTTTGTTTTCCCACCAAATCTGCTTCCTTATATTATTAGAAGTTTTTGTATTTTGGAGGTGTCAGTGGGGATCAAATCAATCCTATTGATGGATTTCTGGTCCTGATGGGAAGATTTATCAGCCCTCTGCTGTCTTATGTCATATGATTTTTATTGCTACTTCACATTTTTATGTCCTCATAGTTTCAAAACTTGGGTATTAGTTAAGTTATTCTTGCAAGACTTGCTCAGAGGAGGTAGTAACAATGCACTTCTATATCTTAAAGGAGGACATTTTAAAATGTTTAAATTGTTGCTTAACTCATTTATATTAGTCACTTTCAGTTTGTACATTTCATTACATTTGCTGAGAGCTAATAATGTTTATGACAAAGTTCCTGTGTCCCATTTATACATAAATAATATTTTCTAGATAAAAAATTAAAATAAATAACACCATGAAATGATATGCAAAACTCTGTAGCTTAAATCCTAACCTGCTGGTGACTTTCAAATTATGTCTTCAGTGCTTTATCAGAACAGATGTTAAAGGGGCAAGGTCCTGTGTATGTGTATGCATAGAGAGAGAGAGTGCGCACGCGCTCAGGACCTTATATATATAATTAGTAAGCAACTCTAGAATGGATTGAAAATGGATTGTTAATTTTGATCTTAGAGACAGCCGTCAAAACCTTCCAGATGAACTAACTGTGCTCTGATAAGCTGATTTGTATAATTTAAATAAAAACCTTTTATATGATTTTGATGCTATTATAGACTTATTCCTCCTTAGAAGTTTCACCATGTGGCCTTCTTGGACATTGTCATTTTAAAAAACAAAAAACCAGACACACACACAGACCAAAAAACCCTTTTTATTGAAAACATTCTACTTGCTTTATATAAAATAAACAGAAGGCAAATATACAATAAAGCAAAGGCTCCTAATTTACACTTGAAACTACTTTGTTTGCAGTCTACTGAAAGCAGTTGTGTTCGTGCAGAAAGAACAATTCCCGCCCCCCCCCAATCTTTTGACTATACTGAATTCAACCATCTTGAAGTGAGAGAATTTGTTTGTATAGAACCAAAATTTACAGCTGAAATACTCAGGTGGTTTTTGCTTATGTATTCACAAAAGTTTTATGTACTATTATTTTGAATTAACACATAAAATTACCATAATTGAAAGAGATGTTTTTTTTCCAGTTTTACTTTGTATGTTTTAAAAGAACTTTGTGTATGTTAAATTTTCCATTATGTAGTCATTCAGTCAGTTCCCTTATTGATTGTGTGGGGCTTATAAGGAGAAAGACAAGCTAAAGCTACAACGCAAACAACTAAAATTGAACTAAAGGGGTTATCTTGCATATACGCTAAGAAAAAGATTGCATTTAGAAAACATATTAACTAAGCCTGACCTAAACTTGACCCCTTTTCCTTCTTGACTAGGAAGTTTCTGTACCATTACTCTTAAATTACAGAAGTCAGGATTCAGCCCAAAATAAATGTTTTTTTAAAATTTATTTTAAATGGCTTCCATGCTGAGTGATTGGCAACATTTTTGTTGACAGAACAATTTATTATCATACCTGCTAATATAGTAGGCTGTCTCATATCGTATGGTTTGTATGTTTCCTGTGCCTCTCGATAACTTTAAAATCCTGCTTCGCCTTGGGTTCTAACAGTTCATGGTGTTTGTGAGTCTGACTGTGGGGGTGAATGGAAAGTATGGGGCAACTTGTTGGGTTCTAATGAGAACACATTGGAAACTTTTTGAAAAGAGAGAGGTTCTAATAATAAGCACTTAGCGCTTTATGTGTTCAGAATGTTGTACAAAATAAAATGAAAATGAACAAAGCCATCTATTTTTAATCTAAAAGGCGTACACTGCATGTTGCATCTGAGGGGTTTCTATTGTTTCCTCAATTTAGAACCACTTTATGCAGGGGATTTTTTTTTTTGACTACTTGGTACTCTTTTTATTTTGCATCTCTGTCTCCGTATATTAGTTTTCCACAGATTACAGGCTCTTAGTGTAATGAAGAATTTGGATAGATAGCATGGAATTGTGTGAAATTTTGATATATCAAGCTAATCGTAAAAAGAGGCATTTGATGACTTTTTTCCTATTATTTTAAGTCTGATTTCCTAATTAACATTATACTAAAATCTGTACATCATTTAAAAGTCCATTGTGAGTAATTTTTTGTTATTGCAACTTGTTGGCCTAGACCATAGCAAATTTAGACAAGTGCTCGTCCTTACTTTAAAAAAAAAGAAAAAAGTTGTATTTCTGTGGATAAGACTGCTCACTTGGCATACAAGTTTGGGAGTTCAAATTATGGTGGTTGTACAGCATTTTCAGAAATAATCATTTTTCTTTTAATTTGATATATGACAAAAATTCTCAATTTATTTTTCTAAGCATTTATTTTTCTACATTAATAGCTGATGAAAAATAAGTGAGCCATATAAAGATGTAATATTTTAAAAAGGGAGACTGTTGAAATGGGTTAAGCTGTCTGAATATCCTTAAAAAAAAAAAAAGATAGCTAAGGCTAACTTGCTCTCCCCCAAATCCTTTAAGGTCATAAATCCACTTACATGAAGTGAGATGGGTAAAAATCCTAATTTTGTCTTTTAAAATTTGACCTGTTAAAGGAATACAGTTAGCATAAAATTTACATTACAGTAGTTTCTGAACAATTTTTGCCTACTATTGTTACAAATCATATCTAAGGTCAGATCTTGCAAACATGCACACTTTATTCACACGAGTAGTTTCTTTTTATGTCAGTGTGGGGGACTATTCACATAAATAAGGGTAGTTATGTACAGCAGTGTTTGCAGGGAGAGAAGCTTTACGATAACTGTAACTGAAAGATTAGAGAAAAGTATATTTATCAGTTTATTTTATACACTGACTGTCACTTTGAGTATAATCCGTTTCACTGCATTTACCATAGGCAATCATTTTTTCTTATTGTTCATGTGGGGACTTAGCAGCAACTGAAATTAGTATTAAATCATGGCTTGCAGCAAAAAAGTGCATTGTTGAACAGAATATTCATAAAGGAAAAAGGTGGTGTATGTATATATTTATTTCTCTAAGGATGGCGAGGCAGATACTTTTAGAGTTAATCCTTTGTGATTTATTTTAAATGTATGGGGTAGGCGCCCCAAGCACTCACCATTGTATTTTAGAAAATCAAAGAAATTAATAAAAATATATTTAGTAGCGATGAAACAATAAATTAAGCTAAATAAACAGAACTAACTAGATTTTATTATAATATTAAGGTCCCAACTCTTCAAGCTTTTGCGAATAGTACAAGGGGTTAGTTTGAACAAAACAGTTTGTACAGTGGAGCCTAATTTTGTACTTAAGAGTACTTTTAACTGTTTTGAAAATGACTGGATTTCAAATTGACAGGTCACTTTGGCTAACTTTTTGTAACTAAAAAATTAGAAACGCTTGTCTTGTTAGAAAGCTTGTCTCTTTCACCAACATAAGTTGGCCAATAAAAGATATTAACTCACCCACCTTGATTTTCTAACTAAACTAACAGCTTTCTAAGACTGACCTTTTTTTAAACATAACTCTTTTGTAAGTATAAAATGCTTTAATCATATATTGTATATTGATATGTATGATTCTGATGGCTTACAGAAGCAAAAATAACAAAGCACGCTTCCTTAAAATTTATAAGATGTCTTTATAACCTGTTTTTAAACTCTTTACAGATATTATTCTGCTTTAAAAACAATGGAACAGTTAGAAAATACGTACCTTCCTAGAGTTAGCCAATATCGTTTTTGCCAAATAATGATAGAAAATCTTCCAAAACTGCGTGAAGAAATTAAAGAAATTTCCATGTCAGATCTCAAGGACTTTTTAGAGAGTATTCGAAAACATTCTGACAAAATAGGGGAAACAGCAATGAAACAGGTAAGTTACATAAAATAATTTCGTTCTTGTGAAAAATTATTAAATTAAGTTAGACATAGCTATTATTCTAATTTATTATACAGATACTTAAAATATGCTTTTTTCCACTTGCACTTCTCTTTCTGATTTTTCTCTGTTTTTCTCTTTTTTTTTAAAACAAATTTGAGCAACATTCATTTAAAGCAGCTCAAAATTCAGAGTATGTTGTGTTTTGGAAAAATAATGATCAGCAGATGTATTCCTTTTTTTAAACACAAAAAATATAATTTCAGATTTCTAATTGCAACGTGAAGTGTGAATTTTATAGATAGTGAGTGTCTCTTTCCCCATATGTTATTTTAGCAGAATAGGAAACTATTACAGTTTAAGTCATAAATCTATTTAAAAGTGACTGAGGCCCCAATCCTGTGAACCCCTTAAGCCTTGAATATCCTTAGAAAAATGAGATGCTTTTTTCAGTTGAATTAGCTAACTTGATTTAGTTAGCGTGACTTGAAACATCCCTTAACACCTATAGTATGTCTAGACTTCTAGACACACATTCATCTACGCATGAAGCCATCAGCCCATAGGAAACTCCTAGTACAAAATGCTACAATGCATCTCCTCAGCAGCACAGATTACCATGATTACTCAAGCCTGTCCTCTGCTCCATGTAGTGGCTTCCTATAGAACACCGAGTCAAGTGTAAGGTCTCGGTTCTTATCTTCAAGGTTCTCAGTGGCCTGGGTCCAAGATATTTAAAAGATTGCATAAAGCTCAGAGATGAGAACTGTGGTCAAAAACTGTGTAACTTCGGCTCAATAATGCTTTCTTCCACTGGTAAAGGTCATCTGTGTAGGAGAAAGCTTTCTTGCAGGTTCATCTAAAACTGTGGAATGAACTCCCACTGGAACTGTGGACCTTCACAAACCTTCTCCTCCAAGTGCAAGGCACACTTCTTTGACTTTGCCTTCTCTAACACTAACACAAACACATAGCAGCTTGTACATAAAAAAACAACCCAACAGCAACAATAAAAAAACCCTACCAAAACAAAAAACTTTACTGCACACGTATATTTTTTCCCCCTGAAGAAAGGATGAGAGAGAACGAACCACACTTGACCGATGTTAGTCATGTGGTTTGATGCACTACTGGAAGGCACTCAGATATTATGGTTATGAGGACAGTATGTCTACGCTGCATTGTAAACCTGGGTCTGTGGTGCGTGTGCTTGTGGATTCTGTTTCCAAACCTGCAGTTGAGTGTCTGCACTGCACCATAAATCTGGATTTACAGTTGCTGGACCTGGGTCTCTCAACTGCGCTAACATGTCCATACTGCACTACACAGACCTTCTGATTTGGGTCTGTGGCTTGAGGTATGTCCACAGAACTGAATACTAAGACTTGGACTCAAGTGTCAGTGGGACTTGGGCTCAGGCCTGCCCTCCCAGGTGGGTCCTAGGACCCAGGTCCTGAATGATTGCCAATCAGAGTCAGACAGATTTGTGGGTGGATGATGGGGGGCTTTGGGCTCAAACCTGAGTGGGCCCGGGTTTAAAATGCAATGTAGAATGGAATAGATTTTTTTAACCTGATGTTAATTGATTACCAGTTAACTTGAAAGAATTAACATGTTTGTAAAGCTAATATGGACACTCCCCAAACATGTGTCCAGATTACCAGAATTTGTATTTTATGCTAGGCTGTGCCAGCAAATGGGTTAAAACTACAACTGTCATTTCTTCACTACGATTTAACACGTTTAAAATACACTTTCTTTCCTAGTGTAGACACAGCTTAGCATCTGTACAACTGTGTTAGCTGGTCGAACATAACCAGCAGATGCAATTGTAGAGGTATTAAACTGTGACTACACTAGTGCTTTGTCTTCACTTAGGGAAAAATAAGTGTGTTCTTAACTTGAGTTAACCAACTCTAGGTAAAATCCTAGTGACTACAAGGATTTTTTAGTTTTTCACAGAAGTTAGCAGATCAAGTTAAAGTCTAGGTTCCATAGTGCTTTTGAAACTTTTCATATATATTTTAAAACTCTTAATGTGTGCTGAGTTACATACGGTACATTATAGTTTTTTAAAGCCCCACAAGTTAGTCTTTCCATGTACTGAAAGAAAGAATATTTGTTGAGCTATTTTATTTTTTGAAATAAATTAAAACGTTTCTAAATCTCATTTGCAGTACAGAGGTAATAAGTGAGAAGTTCCTAGTTGTGGTTCCAATGGGAAATTGTCACAAAAACTTTTGTGAAAAATTGTCCTGTTTTCCAGCAAAATTTAGACCAGATTTAGTTTCCAGTTTACTGATCTTCTGTTGAAAGCCAGTTTTACTTTTGTATTTAAGATAGTGATGAGCAAACAACAAAACGTTTGACGGTCCAATTTAAACAAGCATCCAAAATTTAATATTCTTATTGGAAGCTTAGCTGTACTATATGAATCTTTGAGACTAGAACTCCCAGAGCCTAAAATCACTTTTCACATACACATGGTTCACTTTACTTACTAAACACTCTGCCTGCATTGTCTTTTTGGGTGAAAAGGGAGATAGAAACCAAGGAACTTTTTACCATCTCTGATGAGTATCCTGCTTCTTAAGAAGGAGACTTTGGGCCTGCTACTCACCTCCAGCTGTGTAGACCTCACAGGTTGCTGAGCCCACTGGTTGGTTATCTTCCTTTTCAGAGGGAGGCCCAAGGTTATATTATCCTGACCTGCCCCCAACATTGGGCCTTCCTCGGGGTGTTGGCCAGGCAGTTTTCCTTCCTTTTATTTCCCTCAAAATTCCACTCTTGGGTTCACTTTTCAAGATGTGGCAGAACTTCCAACTCCTGCACTATGGTGCTGCAGGTCCTAGTAACCCCTCCATTAACTTCCATTTATCTGGTCACTTTGAAATGTAAAAGGGACTTGTGAGGTTTGTAGCCCTGAGTGAGGTGCAATATTATAATTTCCTAGAGTAGGTATGATCCCTTCCTCCTTGCAATATTACTGTTTTTTGTGGGAATGGAAGGAGAATTGTTGCACATTGACATTCCTGGTTCCTTTGACATTTTAAAGCAGTGAGCTTAATGGAACCCAAGGAAAGAGATTACTGTGTCCTATTGCACCAGATCAGGGAGATCAGTTATCTGGTCTCGTATGATGATTAATAAGACATAAAGGTGGTTTTGAGATTGGGAAGGGAAGATGACAGCCCTAGCTCCTCTCTCAGGTACCACCAGTACTGGGAGGAGAGAGCAGATTGCTGGCATCTCCTGAAGGAGAGAGACTGCTAGAGGCAGGGAGTGGACTGTCCAGCAACTCTTCCCAACCTAAAATTATCTGCCACTTCAGCAAAGAAGTAGCAGTGGTTTGGTGTGTGATGTGGTGATTGCAATAGGTAAGTTATTAACCAAACATTTATGATCCTTTAAGTTTAGTTTGGGCTGATTATTTTTTCAAGCTGGTTTGTCCTTCTGTAATTTAAGCTTCCTAATTCTGTTTTTAGTATACGGGGCATTCTCTTTTGGCTTACAAAAGCAAAATTTCTGTGTAAACGTAGCTATGGTGTTATGGGTGAAATATGATTACAAGATTATACTGAGTCACATTTTCATATTTCTTGTAATAGTAGAAAGAATAGACATATAAAATAAGTTCTTGATTTCTACATATGACTCTTCTCAGTTAAACTAGGCCAAAATCTGTGTAGTTGGAGATAGCTAACTATATAATCATTTTATTATATTTAAATGTTCATATTTTATATGCAGTATCTGGTTAATAACATAATTACATTATAATTTTGTGATTATTTCTTTAAAATTACATTTTGAGAATTTTAAAAAATGGTGAGGTTAACCTTTGAACTCATGATGATTGCAAGTTGATTAAGGACATTGTTTTCGATATTTGCATGATGTATGCCTTGGAGTTATACTGATATGTGCCCACTAAAACCAATATTTGCCAAGTGCATAAAACATCACAGTCTGCCTTTACAGTCATAGCGTATATTCAGATCTGTGATCATTAATGAAATTTGCAGTCCCTCTCTTTTGATATTAAATATATGTCTTGCTAAAACAGGCACAGCAACAGAAAACCTTTAATACAGCTCTTCAGAAACAGAATAATGTAAACTATGGGAGGAATATGTATGTAATTAATGGCAGAGTTCCAGAACCTAAGTATGAAATTACATTCAAGCGAACACTTGAGGAAGAGGATGAACATGAAGAAGAGGTAACTTAGTATTAATTCAATATTAATATCATTTATTTAAAGTGAAGTCTATAGCATTAACTGAATATTTCTGTTGTACAAATGTAGGCCTTTGGTCCTGCAATAAGCACAGCATGGATAGGGTCCCCCCCCCATTGAAATCCATAGGACTCTGTGGAGGAACAAAGGTCCCCCTCATGGAGAAGTTTGCTGGATCAAGGTCTTTGAAAAGAAACAAATCAAGATGTTAATTATATTCATGCTACTTGTAGTAACAATTTTATGGACATTAATGTAAATATAACTTGTAATTCTATAGAAGTTCAATTGTAACTTATCACTTACTGTACCATATCTAGTCACTGTATGTGATATGTAACCTGTTAGAATTGTCTGACATGTGAGAATATTCTGCCACTGCTGTAGCCATTATGTTTCTGTGTTTTTAGTGGATATTAACCTATGTTAAAAGAACAGTTCTTTGAGTGCTGGCCCCTATCTGTATTCCATTGTGGGTGTGCATGCACACCATCATCTGAGACTGGAGTGTCCTTCAATCCTGCCTCTCCAGGAAACCGGAGAGGCAGTCATTCTATACTGCCACTTATACCCTCCGTCTGCTGCGTGAGGAGAAGAACTGCACAGGAGTGGATTGAAGGACACTCCTAGCAAAAATGTTCTGGTCTCTGACTCACGATGCTCATGCTCAGCCCATGGTGGAATACAGATAGGGATCGTGCATCTCAAAGATCTCAAGTTACAGAAAAGTGAGTAGCCTCTCCTTTCAGCTACGATGTGCTCCTTATGAGTTTGGTCTTCTAAATGACGCATGAGGGATTACACCCTAAATATTATTTCCTGAAAATAGTGAATGAAGTGTCTGTTTTCTAATATGAAAAAAAGGAAGTTCTAATCCTGTAATGGAAAAAGGGGACCTGAACATTTAATCTACCCTTCTGTGAGAAAACCAACACTTTGATGAGGCCTGAAGTTAATAGTAAAAGAATGCTACAAGCCATTCAGGCATATTTTTTTCTATCGCTTGTCCATTAAAACAGTGTTTTTAAGTGGCTATAAAATCTACCAACAGAGATGACTCTGACTGACTTGAGTCTCTGTTTACTGTGGTCTTGTGTTTCAACCCACAGTTTTTGCCTAAAGTGATGTCTGAATTCCATGTTCACCAGTCTACTAACCTTCCAGTATGCTTTCCTAAACCTCAGGAATTATTGGAGGAAACCAAGATGCACAAATTGGATATTAAAAGGGCACTAAATAATAATAATGATATAACAAAATCCTTTTATTGGTCTCCATAAGTATATTTTGGTTGCATTTGGCTCTCCCTTGGACTTGTCTTGAATTTCTTTTCAAGATTGTCTAAATCAGTTTGGCTGTATAATCAAAATACTTATGAACTAGAAGGTATGGCATACCCCAAGGTCTAAGAGCTCACTTGTTCTTTGAAATGTTTAGGACTCTAATTGGAATTCCATTCATGCAGTTAGGCTACACTACTTTTAACTTAACTGCAAAGTATGGTGCCTATTTTGGGAGAGCAGATCTATAGTTTTAAATACTCTGCCCACCATGTGGGATTTATGATTGCCAGTCATTCTCCAAAGGGTAAGGATCTAAAGAAACAATTCTCAAAAGAAAAAGGAAAGTTACTCCCTCATAACAGAAGTTCTCAAAGTATATTGGTTTTATAGCTCCATTCTCTTTCCCCCACTTTTTCAAAGTCTAGTGTATGGAAATGACGGTTATTGGAACTACAGTCTCTTTTATCATAGCCTTGCGCCACATGTTTGGATCCGTGAGGAGGTGCTCATGTAGCCCCAGTGTTCACTGATTTGAAGATAAGTCTTAGCTCAAGATGCTGAGGCCCATGGATCCCAAGAATGTTGAGCTGTAGTAGTGATGTACTTCAAACTAGTCACTGGTGATTAACCTTCCAATTTGGCCAACTAACTTTAAAATGCGGCCAGTTCCTTACCTTTATCCTCACATTCATGTTAAGCAAAATAAGATGTTAAATTTACTGATCAGTTTGTAAGACCAGTTCTGTTCCTAATGCACCAAGTTATGAGACTGATTTTTTTTTTCCTCCTGCAGGTTTTGACTGCTCATGATCTTGTAGATTTTTCTCCTGTTTACAGATGCTTGCATATCTATTCAGTTTTGGTATGTATTACTATGACTTAAAATAATTAAGAATGGTTATATTTTAAAAAGTCTAAATATCTTTTTTCTTACCTTTTGCACTTTGCCAATTTCCAAGTGAGCAGACACATGTGAACACATTTCATCAGAGTCCAACTGTGCTGAACCAGATGAAATAGATCTGACACTGGTACTCACAGGACATTCTTGTATGGTTTATTTTTATAGTGCCTAACAGAGTAGCAGTTCGGTAATTACAGTACATAAACATTTTTAAAATCACACAAGTTATGTATGCCTCAACAGATAGTAATATTTAAAGTGCCAGTCCTTTAACTGTTCCCAATGTTCCTTAATACCTAACTGTTTAAAAAATAATAGAGTAAAACATAAAATAAAAATTTGTCCTAAAACTCACAAAACTCAGGTTCTGGTGGACCATCAAGCAAATGCCGATGACTCAGAGATGCTTGCTACCAAACTCATAAGCGTTTTACAGTAGGAATGAACAACAGAGGCCTGACAACACATCCCCGCTGTTGTGGGAAAGTAAAAAATGATGGGCAGTACACAGGGTAACCAGGGCAAAAAGAGTGATTGTTACTTTCCATGTTCACTATGTCTGAATAGCTTTTGTACTCAGTTTATGTGTAATGTAATTTTTAAAAAGGTTTTCTTTCAAACTCCTAATCCTGTAAACTCAGCCTGGGCTCTGACAGTCAAGATGGATTTGTTCCTTCTCACAAGTTGCCAGTAACAAAGATTCTGCAGGACTAATTAAACCCTCATTTACACCTGTGAAATCTCATTGTTTTCAGGTTATGCACCCCAAAGATACCTGCCTGTGCAGCTTTCCCTTTCTCCTTGCCATTAGTGGCTTTGCAGAAATGTAGTTGATTGCAACTTAATAAAAAAAAATTCAGTGATACAAAAGAGGGAATAGAATCCAACTCCTTCTGTTAGCTGTGTTGGCTCTGCAGTGTTAACACAAATAAGTAACAGTAAAAGCTTGTTTTGTCACTGAAGTCAGCAAAGTTAAGTGATGGCACCAAAGGAGAAAATCTGTAGTTAATTGCTATTTTTATGTAGTCACTTTTCATAGGAGAACTAAACATTAAAGAGATTACAGTAGAACCTCAGAGTTACAAATGCCTCAGGAAAGGAGGTTGTCCGTAATTCTGAAATATTTGTAACTGTGAACAAAACATTATGGTTGTTTTTTCAAAAGTTTACAACTGAACATTGACTTCATACAGCTTTAAAACTTTAATATGTAGAAGAAGAAAAATACTGCTCTCCCTTTGTTTTTTTTAGTAGTTTACATTTAATGCAGTACTGTACTGTATTTGCTTTTTTATTTATTTTTTGGTCTCTGCTGCTGTCTGATTGTGTACTTCCGGTTCCAAATGAGGTGTGTGGTTGACAGGTCAGTTCGTAACTCTGGTGTTTGTAACTTTGAGGTTCTACTGTACCAGCACTTTGAATTGTGAGGAAGCCAATAGGGAGCCAGTAGAGAGATTAGAGAATGGCTCCATGCTCATAACAGCCCACCCCACTTAGGGTATGCCTACACTGCAGCTGCAGCACTAGCCGTACTCTAGCTAGCTCACTAAAAATCTAAGTGAGGCTGCCGCAATGCAGGCTTCAGTTCTGGCTGCATCAGCCTACCTGACCCCCCAGGTGCACACTCACTGAATTCCACACCATGGCACCTGTGCTTCTATTTTAAATGAGCTAGCTGGAGTATAGCTAGGGTGGGACATCTGCACAAGCTGCAAATCACACTGACTGCTGCAGGGTAGATGTACTCTTGGGATACAGGTAGTTGCATTCCAGGGGAGGCTCTATGTATTTTGCTGCCCCAAGCACGGCAGTCAGGCAGCCTTCGGCAGCATGCCTGCAGGAGGTCTGCCGGTCCCGCGCCTTCGGCGTACCTGCTGCCGAATTGCTGCCGAAACCATGGGACCGGCGGACCTCCCGCAGGCATGCCGCCGAAGGCAGCCTGACTGCCACCCTCACGGCAACCAGCAGGCCACCCCCCGTGGCTTGCCGCCCCAGGCACGCACTTGGAGCGCTGGTGCCTGGAACCGCCCCTGTTGCATTCTGCATCAGCTGACACTTCTGGGCAGTTGGTGCGGATTGCAATAAGCCTTGTGGATACAATGTAAGGAGAGAGGGGGACAGGGATCCAGGGGTGGCTGCTCAGAGGCTGGGGCAAAGCAGCCTGATTTATTGAATCTAGTCCACAGCTCTTCCCATCCCCCTCTTGCAGTGTGGGCATGATACCTTATCTCTTTCCCTGGCTCAGCCAACTTCAGGCTCCGTAATCCTGAGGAAGATTCTTTTCATATGAGAGTCAATGGCTAATACAGGGCTTTGTATTTTGAAATAAGAATGTTTAAAGCTTATAATTACAGGCATGAATCCCTAAATCTGATGTATGCTGTGATGTGGCAGGTTCTGTGGGACACTGCACTTCATCCTATGGCTCTGCCCGCACACTTTATTTTGATGGTGGCACTGTCAGATTTTATTATATCAGTGACCACCCTGTCTCAATGGCGAGATGTCAGAAATAGAAGAGGCCAAAAGATGGGTTGAAAAATCTGAAGAGAAATTAAAAAGACTAGGACTGTTTAGTTTAGAGAGGAGTTGGTTACTTTTATTTACCCTGTCTCATAATACTAGAAGGGAGCAACCAATAAAATTGGAAGGCAGCAGCTTAAAATTAATACAGTATAATTTAAACTGAAATGATCATAAATAGGTAACAAATTACAACTGATTTTATGGTATGGCAACACCCATTTTTTCATGTTCTCTGTGTATATATATGTTCCTACTGTATTTTCCAATGCATGCATCTGATGAAGTGGGTTTTAGCCCACGAAAGCTAATGCCCAAATAAATTTGTTAGTCTCTAAGGTGCCACAAGTACTCCTGTTCTTTTTTCTTTGAAAACTAGTGGCCACTAGATATAACTGAAGCTTAATAAGATTTACAAAAAAGATTAGCCATTTATATTATCCAATAATATTGGATAAAACATTAGATTGGATGTGGATAAAAAATTGGAGAGATGTTAAACTCTCTTGCTTCAGGGCATAAAGCTAGTTAACAACTCCTAGGGTTGGGAGGAAACTTCCCACTTGAGGCAGGTTATTTCATAATGTTCATTATGAGTTTTTTCATAATTGCCCATTATGAGGATCTTGCGCCTTCCTCTGAAGTGTCTGGTCCTAGCTACTGTTAGAGACAAAATACCAGATTAGATAAATCACTGGTCTGACGTAGTATGGCAGTTTCTGTGTTTAAATGTGAGGGAGAACGCAACCATAATTCGGTAATTTAAACTTGTAGCTTGTAATTATGTATTAGCGAAGTTCAATCGCTGCTTTAGTCTTTTCCTGCCTTTTTTTGGTTCACATTTTTTAGTAGGCTAGCCTAGATGCAGAGTGTGTTTAAGTACTGTAGAGTAGAGTATAACCAGGGCTCAATGTGTTCTGTAGAATGCTGTATTTAAACTCTATAGTAAGCTCCCGTTCCCCCCAACCCCCCCGACCCCGGGTTCTGTGGTATACAACACTAAATTTTGAGGCAAATAAAAATTATATGGCAAGATAAAATGGAAAAAAAATTCCAAAACAGGATTTCATGTGTGAGCAAATTTCCAATCATTTATCGTCCACCATAAACTGATTTGTTATTTTATGTGTGTGAATTTAGGAACTTTTCAAAGATGAACAGCTGCATCCATTATATTGGGCATTTTCTGTTTTGACTCTCCTTTGCTACTCCTGTGAATACATGTCACGCCACCAAGGCTATTGCTTTAGTTATTGATAAGAGTCAGAGGATCTATTAAAGTGGTTTCTATTAAAAACTATGATCTTAGCTGCCTCCAAGTAATCCTGTCTATTGCATGGTATATGGTGGTGATTCAACACCCATCAAGTATTTTACATATCAAATTTTATTTTGTGCATTTGGAAAGAGCAACTATTCTTTTTCACAGTAGACTTCCACTAAACTCATGCACAAATATGATATTAGAAGTAGAATTCTACATTTCTGCCAATTACTTTATTATGCATTTAAGAATTACATCATACTATTTGGCTGGAAAGTAATGATTTACATTATGATAATAAATGTAAGTGATAATGTCCTGAATAAAATATTACAGTAATAAAAAGAGATCTAGTTAATATGTATCACACAACATGAAGAACTTGATTTTTTAAAAGCAAAGTCTTCTACCCCACCCCCCTTTATTTTAATTTCAGGCTTTGCTTCCTTCTGTGGTAGGTTATCTGCATTTTGGGGAAAGAAAACAATATTCTTTGTATACTTGAAAATATTAATTTAGAGCTTTACTTAGATTATTTCTTACTGAAATAGTACTGATTTAAGAATATGCGGGATCTCTTATGTTTTGATTTGAAGCTTTTTGGAATCCCAAGTAATGGAATTCTAAATAGCTCTGACCTAGCAATAACCTCATGGAGTAAAAATGAAACTTAAAATGCTAAGCTGCTTAATTCTGCTTGCATACAGATTATGTTGCATTCAATAGGTAGATGAGTCAGTGTTGTAATGGTTTCAAATGGACAGATGGTTTCCACTGAATGAATCATCTTAATGAGAATACCAGGATGTTGCTTGAGGTCTTAACAATATAATCAATAGGCATAGAGAATATTGCCTATGTATTAAATTTTGAGGACTGTTGTATGACCAAAATCCAAATCTTTAGTCATTATATTTACTAAGTACCAAGAAAGGGTAAGCAAATATTAAATTTTGTTTTAGATTTTGCTCAAGGAATATTAATGCATTCAAGAGTCAGGCTATATTATGAATTTCTGTAACATTTAGCATATAACTAAACTTTACACGTCACAAAAGTCAACATAAACTAAGTTTCCTGTATAACTTTAAAAAAGCAGTATTGTAGTTAAAGCAGCTGTATTTAAGTTACAGAACAGGAGTTAAGATTTTTTAAATTTTGATAATTAGTTTGATATTGTTACCTTAGTCATTTAAAAGATTTGTATTTGGTATCATAGCAGCATGACATAAGTAAAAATATGGGCTGAAGGGCACAATTCTCCTCTCCGGTGTACATTGTGGATCTCTTTCATGTGCTTTGCACTCATTTCAAGTATGCAGAACTTCGACTGATGTCATTGGGAGTTCCATATATGGAACAAATGCAAAATATATGGTTGTGACTTACAGTGGAGAACTCTGCCCTTAATTTCAGAAGTACTTTTTCATCATATGAAGAATATTCCTCTTTTAACCACATTTTGTTTGTCTTGTTCCAGGGTGATGGAGAGACATTTGAAAACTACTACAGAAAGCAAAGAAGGAAACAAGCAAGATTAGTTCTGCAGCCACAGTCAAGCATGGTAATGAATACAATTTTATTAAGTTGCACTGACTTGGAATTTTACTTAAATATTTAGTGGTATTTTTATTCCTCAACATTTTTGTTTTTTACTTAAAGCATGAAACAGTAGAAGGCTACAGAAGATATTTCAGTCAAATTGTAGGGTAAGTTTTCTAAATGGAAATCTGTTGCCCTTATTCTTACCCCCCACAATCCTCTCCTCTGTGTAAGACCCATGCCATCTGTATCCAGTTGCCACATGGATAATGGCTGCTGCTTCTCTGGAGTGGAGGATTCATCTGTCCGGCACACACATCCTTCCAGTGTAGTGACAGATATAGCCTCTCCATTGAGCTGGGCTCCAGTTGGCAGCGGGTGTGCTTCCCACATCCTGTCCAGAACAGCACCAAGGGCCTGATGCAAAGTCCATTGAAGTCCCAGTTGTTCTGTGGACACGGGCTTTCCATGCTCCTGTGCAAAAGGGTATGATTTGCTCCATACTGTAATAAATATTTGAAAATAACTGTTGGTTATTTAACTTAATTCTTGTAAATTTTTGTTTTAGTTTCTTTGTAGTGGAAGATCACATTTTACATGTAACCCAAGGATTAGTAACTAGAGCATACACTGATGAACTGTGGAACATGGCACTGTCAAAGATCATTGCTGTTCTTAGAACCCATACGGTAAGTGAGAAGACCTCGTGGTAATTCAGTGGAAATCCATTAAAGAGTGTCTGTGTGTTTAAAAGTAGGATAATGTCAAAGTGAAAAATTACACCTACATCATTGTGGGTTTTTTTGTGATTAAAAATTGCTCACATTTGGGAGAGAGCCTGCCAAGCTTTTGTTTTTCCCAGCAGTATCAGGCTGTGAGCCACAGCCATGGGCTATTTGCATAATCCTCCACTGATTTACAACTCTCTGGGTCTTCCAAAAGTGCTCTTAGTCCAGCAGTTTAGAATATGCAGAGTTAATCTGCTGTTATTATTGCAATCTGTCCTCATTAGTTTCAACTGACCTCTTCATTAGATCAGATTGAATAGTTCATCACTGAAAGCACCACCAGGAAATAATTCCTAATTATCATTCCAAATACCCTGTTTCCAAAATAAACTCTACCAACAAAACCCTTAGAGCTACCCCTTCAATGCCCCTGTAATAGTATGTTTACATTGCAGTAGAGGCATTACTAAAATCTTTAAAATGCTGAAGTGTTATTAACTTAATACTATATTTAGCTGAATATTTTGGTATTTTTAAAATGTATCTCAAATAGTGAAAGTTACCTCTCTATTATCCACCCACAAGAAAACTGGCTATCAGCATGCTGTTTCTGATCCCCCTTGAAAAACAAGGGAATACAGTCATTGATTGTGGTTGACTGCATTTTATCCTGGTAAATTACTTCAAAACTTGCCAAAAGGGTCATAGATGGCATGTTCAGGAAGAAAAATAGAAGATTTGTAACATATACAAAGTGCTGTTATTTCATGTCTCGACTTGTCCTTTTCAGTGTTCACTAATCTTCATTAATTCATGCAAAAATATGTGCTTAAATCATGGAGTTTGGATTTTGTTACCATTTCCCTATTATTACAGGTTGTTTTAGGTTTGAAGAATATTTTATATTTTGTAAATATTTTAGGAAAGCCTGAAAACAATTTGGTTTTTCAAATTGCAACAACTGTATTTTCATCAGGAACATTTCTGGTGAATGCCAGTTAAGTTTTGTTTCCAATCCCCAGCTCATTTTAGAAGGCACTACTAGCAAGTTCAAATTGTTTAGAGATTTCTAAACCACATATTTTGCAAGGCAGGTGAATGTTTAATCTATTGATTGACAACCATTTATAAAAAAGTGACAATTTAAAGCATTCAAATGTTCTTAAATCTTGTTTCTTATAGAAATAGGACCCTTCATTAAAGGTTTTCTGATATAATTGAAATTGATGTCATTATTTGTTCTCAGGATGCGTAACTCCCATCGCAATCAATTATATCATGCTAGTCTGTATTGTGGTGAAGTGGTGACTAGTGCTCTTCTTCTTTGAAGAGTACTTGCAAGAAGCCAAACCATTAGCTTATTTATATAATTACTTGGAGAGTAAAGACACAAAAAATACTGTAAGGCAGACATGTGGGCTGCATTTCAAGCTTGTATTCTTATCCTGCATTACATTGCATGGCCATAAATATTATTTGTATTTTTTTATTAAAAAAAAAGATGATGATTAAGACCAAAATATTCAGAATTGGGGACATAAAGATAGAAACATAATTGCAGGATAAATGTAGCCTTATTTTTCAGAGGTGCGTCAACAACTCCCCTTTGACTTCAGTAAAAGCTGCAGATGCTTAACACCTCTAAAAATGAAATCATATTGCTGTAGCTGCCTAATCTTATACACCAAAGTTTGCAGATATTAACATAATATGTAAACATTTTGCTCAGAACTTTTCCCTTTAGAAATCAGTCTTGAATATGCTATTGTGTTAACATTGGTTAGATTGAGGCTTAATGTTTGAAAGTACTATTAAGGTTCCTGATTTAGCAAAACACTTCTGCATGTACTTAGGTCCCATTGACTTCAATGAATGGAGCTTCAATGCATCTCATTCATGGTGTGCCTAGGCACTGACTCCGTGGGTGCTCCAGGGCTGGAACACTCATGGAAAAAAAATAGTCGGTGCTCAGCACCCACTGGCAACCTGCGAGTCAGCATCTCTCCCTCTCCCTCCCATCCTCCCCCCTGCACCTCCTGCTCACTGGTGGCCCCGCTGATTAGCTCCTCTGCCTCCTGCCCGCCGCGATCAGCTGTTCTGCAGCATGCAGGAGGCGCTGAGGGAAAGGGGGTGAAGCAGGGGCAGGAAGAGGCAGGGGGAGGAGGTGGATGGGGGTGGGAGCTTAAAGGAGTGGAGTGGGGGTGGGGCCTGGGCGGAGCAGGGGTCAAGCACCCCCCGGGATCTGAGTAAGTCAGCACCTATGATGGTGTGCATCACTTTTCATATTCCAGCTGGTCTTGTCTGAGCTCTTCCTGTTAGGACAAATTTTGTAATAGCTTTGTGATATGAACAAATACTGTATATAATTGGACTAAGTTAAGAAAAGGTGGGTGAGGTAAATCTTTTATTGGACCAACTTCTGTTAGTGCAAGAGACAAGCTTTCAAGGCTTGCTAGAAGCTGGGAATGGGCGACAGGGGATGGATCACTTGATGATTATCTGTTCTGTTCATTCCCCCTGGGGCACCTGGCATCGGCCACTGTCAGAAGATAGTATACTGGGCTAGATGGACCTTTGGTCTGACTCAGTATGGCCATTCTTATGAAGAGCTCTGTGTAAGCTTGGAAGCTTGTCTCTCTCATTAGCAGAAGTTGGTGCAATAAAAGATATTACCTCATCCACCTTGTTTCTCTAATATCCTGGGGCCAGCAAGGCTACAAGAACACTGCACACATAAATTAAGATATGTAAGTCTAAATTGCTTTTATCAGCACAAGAACTTTACTAGTGGTATAAAGCAAGTGAGTTTAACCTGCTGTACCACTGTAAGTTGAAAATGTATTTACTGTTTGATTTAAATAACTTTTACAAAATCAATATTTTTTATTTCCAGTCATATTGCACTGATCCTGATCTTGTTTTAGAGCTGAAGAATCTCATTGTTGTGTTTGCTGATACTTTGCAGGTTGGTGTTATTTTGATAATTGAATTAAAATACCTGGAGCCAAATTCTGCCTTTGGATATGCATGTGCAACTGCCATTGGTTTCAGTGGAATTGCATGCATGTACCAAGAACAGAATTAGGTAAGATGTTTTAAATAATGAAAATATCTTACCTAGCTTTCTTCTGCTGGCTCCCCTTTAACACAACCTTCTTAATTTGTGCCCATCACAGACTGCCTAGGTGTCCTGTTGTGCACTGAAAAAAATCTTTGATTGTCAGTTTTTGTAATTTGTTCGAAAGGGTATTACATAGCATTAAAATAAATGTAAATATTATATTTTTGTAAACATTTCATTTCTAATTTATAGCAAGTAGTATTTCAGTTCAGTCATTGAATTTGCTGCTTGGAAAACCAGTTATGTATTTATTGCTGGTCTGCTCTTGAATCATTGATAAAACAGATAAAACACATTGATTAAATACCAAGTTAAAAACATTTAAAAGTAATTTGTCACATTTTGCCATGAACACTGTAGTATTTCTAAAATAAACAGAGTATCAGGTTTACAATTTAGTAGATCATGTTTAATAGTACCTTTACCTGTTGAGTCCTGTAACTTGTACAATAGTGGTACAAAATTGCATGGTAAAATAACCCCTCTTAACATATTGAAGCACTGTATGATCAGTGATGATAGTAGTTCTTGAGTTATTTGTCCTTTTTATTTTTGTACTTTAGGGTTATGGGTTTCCTGTGAATCGACTGTTTGATCTTTTATTTGAAATAAGAGATCAGTACAATGAAACACTGCTTAAAAAATGGGCTGGGTTGTTCAGGTTAGTATTACAAAATGAAAAAACATCTCAAAATACTCTGTCAATTAGGGTTGGTTTAACTACTCAGTAATTGTGTCTTTGAATCAAATCTGCTTTTTTCTGTTAAATTACACATTTATTTAATTAAATACTCATTTTCTAAATTTTAGTTAACTGAGTACAGTATACTATAGCTTGACCCAATAGGACTAAAGGTCTTTTGGCATTTCTATTATGAATTGACCTGAATGGATAGAGAACTTGCAAACTGTAACATTTAATTTCCTCCAGCATGAAAGTTTGCATTCATTTTATACAAAAATTAATATCAGGTTGGATCATTTTGCTAGAGAAAGGTGGTAAAATTAATAATCTCTTTCCTATTTCAGTAATGCTGCGTCTTTTTCTAGTTTAAAAACAACATTGAAAATGAAATATTACAGATTTTCATAGATTGAGTTGGGCTGATGTCATTGTACAATAATTCTAGGCAATATGACATGGGGAGGCTAACCTTGAGTTCTTATATATTATGCCATTATAGGAGCATCATAAAAGTGACGCCTTTAATTTGGACGGGAACAAGGGTACAGAAAAGGTTATTGTTTTGTTGTTAGTGAGCATTCCTTTGTATCTCACTTGGCAGAAACTGGGTGCTTTTGATGCAGCTGCTCTGCTTCTATGTCTGCCTTAAAAATAATTTGAGAGGGAAAATGGTAAACCCAGAATTAAGGGGGTTTTGAAGCTTTAATCTGAAGTTCCTATTTCAGATAGAGAATGATCCCAAGGTGCCCTGGGTGCATTTACAGTGGAAAAAAATACATTTGTGTTGATCACGTTAACTAACACAATGTTAAACATTCAGTGTAGACAAGGACTGCCATATTTATTGAGTTAGCTGTTCATAGTTAACCATAGGGTAGTCCAGCTAATATGAAGTCCCTGTCTATACTGATTTATATGATCTGAAGAGAAATTAGAAAATACTAAGCTGTGCTTTGCATTGTGTTAATTAAAATATGTTCTAAAATGGTGTAATATTCCAGTATGGACAAACCTTCTAGGGTCATGTAGACTGTGAAAAAGTCATTGCATGGATAAATGCGATCCCAGTGCTGCAGTAAGTATTACTCAATCTCCCAAAATGCTGTTTGGAATTCTGGATCAATATTGAATTCAGTTCTCCACTTTTGGAATTGTACATCCAATCTGATGTCAGTGAAAAGCTTTGTATTCATTTATGTATTCACTTATTTATGATGTTTTTAAGTATTAATCCATCTCCTGACTGTGCTGATTTTGCTAACTCTGAACAGGGATATTTTTGAAGCAGATAATTACAGCCCTATCCCTGTAGCAAATGAAGAGGAGTACAAAATAGTGATTAGCAAATTTCCTTTTCAAGATCCAGAACTTGATAAGGTAAGAACAAGTTTTATATTACAAAAGTTTACTTTAAACCAATTAAACAGAGTTAGGAACATAATGAATTTTGTAATTAAAAAGTAATTAAAGTTTGAATAACAAGGTAGATTAAGAGGCTAAATCACCTTTTTCATGGGTAATTATCTAGTTATAAATAAACATGAAAATTCAAGATGCAGTCATTTAATCTGAAATTTTAGTGAGTAATGAAGCCTATAGTTTTGTAAACAAATTAATAATCAACTTTTAATAATTAATACAATTTTTGTTTAATGACAGTTAACTTTTAAGTTTTGCTACAGCATATCAGGTTTCATAAACCACAGTCTATGATGTACTGTAGCATTACAAAATGTAATAAACAACTACAAGGTCTATTAAAAATATATTTTTTGTAAATTAATTGTTTGGGTGCTGCTGAGCTCATTCGTTATGTGGGACAAAACATACCTGAGGTTCTTCCCTATATGAACTGTGTGTGTTCCTTTGAGGCCATAGCATTCCAGTAGAGAGTTCTTGTGGATTTCTCTATGTACAGCTACAAAGTTCTTAAAGAAAATTTGCTCCCTTTAAAAAAAAAAAACAAAAGATGAGACTAGTATGTTGTGCAAGCCAAATGTGTTGTGTAGGTAATAGCAGGCAGGAAGTAGAAGACCCAGGTTTGTGGTATTATTTATATCTCACTAGTTCCTAGAAGCCCCAAACAAAACTGAGACCCAAATAGACAGTTATTCCCACTGTTTACCATAAAACAGTTTTTTGTAGGGTCCACCACTGTAGGTATCTTCTTAGTCTTGCAGATATTTTGAATCTGCCATTCAGCTGTCATTTATCTTTCCAAATGTAACAGCTGAATACCATGTGTATGTTACTGCAGTGAAGTGGAAGAAGATTAAAGAGGGTTTTATGATGCTTAATGAGCGTAAGCTTTATTTATAGATGAACATATATGATGGACTATAACAATCTATTAAAAATGTTAGGATGGTCATGACTTTGATAGTACTTTAACTCACTGTCATACTACGTTTACCTTTTCAAATTGTTATTTTTTATTAATAATCAGTTTTCTTAACTGTATAATAATAAAGCAATACCAAAATTGGAAACAAATAAATAAAACACAATATCAGCAATATATAGCACACCACATAGGTCTTACATTCAGTCTTATGAATAGTATTTGTCATGACAGACTTAGCCAATAGGGTGCCTTAATTTTATATTGTATTAAACCACTATAACTATTCCATTACTTATACAAATACACAATCTTAGACCATCCGCTATGCATATAAATGAGCCATGAGAATTCAAAATTGAGTACTTTGTCAATGAGGGTAGATTGTCATTCACTAAAAAGGGAATGCATTCTATGAACCATTAGTTTTCCGTTTGACTTATAACTCAGAAAGGCACTGTCATTTTAAACTGAACAAAAACTCGGTTTATAGATTTTTCTGTGGACCAGATTTCAGTCTGGTATTTAGCTGCAGTCTAGTATGCTTGAGAATACAGGTGGGAATTGGGAGTTGCGGCTTCTGTTCCCAACTCTGCTATTGACCTGCTTTGAGGCATTGGGCAAGTCACTTCACATCTGCACAACTCTGCTAATTCAGCTGTACAATGGGGGATAATGATTCCTACACATTTGTAAAGATCTTTGAGAGCTATAGATCTAAAGCACTGCATAATGCAGGATATTATTAAAAATAACATGCTCTAGATTGTTTTATCTCTTGTGTATCCATTACTTCTTCCCCAGATGGAGCTAATGCTCTTGTGTGTTCTTAAATTGACATATGCTTATATTCATATAGCATAATGTGTACATTCATGGCCCTTGCACAAAAAGTATCTTAGTTTTTTGGTGACCATTGTTTGAAGCATCCCTCTCTAAGGTACTGGGTTTTGCAGGACATTCTGCAATTTGGTGGAATCAGGCTGTCTATTTTACTTGACCACAAAGGCAGGTAGTGTTCTGCAGACATGTGAGAAACTTCTTCACAGAATACCCTGTGTCCTAGGAGAAAATGCACTGAGTTAAGAGCCAGGAGGCCATGAGTTAAGATAGTGCCTTTGTTGACTGCTGTTTATATTCCCATATACTTGAGAGCCCTGTGCTGCCTAAGGGTTACAAGGCAGTCAAATATTAGCCTGCATCATTTTACAAATAAGTTAACAGAGATTGCATAAGGCCACTTCAGGCAGAGTTGGGAATAGGGACCAGATCTGTAATATGGCAAACCCAAGTCTTATGCACCTAGTTATATTGACTTTTAGATTGAGTGTGCTAAACCTGTAATGTTTTGTTTATGCAATCTCTAATCACTGTGTTACACTCCCCTCTCACATTCAGGGATACAACCCATGATTTCTGATCACTGTTATTCTCCTGCTGTCTAGCAAATTCTTGTGTTACCCACTGGGAAAGTGGATAGTGTGGCCTCCTGTAGTGGTTGGTCCTCACAGAGGATAAACAACTACTCCTGTCTGGCCGGTGGTAGAGGATCTGAAGGTTCTAGATTTAAACCCTGCTGATAACCCATGTGGGGAGTCTGTTTAATGGCATGATATAACTTGTTTTTTTCAGTTTTCTTTTTTTTTTTAATGGTCTGTTCAGTTCTCACACAGCGAGAAACAGGTTTTGTAGTTAAAATAGTACATGATCATCGGTCAGTGATAGTGTGATGCACAGCACAGTACGGATGTCCCACATTGTGGCCATTTGTTCCACATGTTGGTAGGTTTGATGGCTGAGAGGTATGGTTTGAAGAGTGTCAAGTTAAGTAATCCAACTTTTTTTACATCATAACTATTACATGGTGACACTGATCTGTTGTTACCTCAATTTTCTTGTGTGAAGAGACCTGATACCTGTCTTGTGGTAATGCCAGTTGTGAATTATCATTGTCCTTGCAGATGGGTTAAATTCTTCAGTCAATGGAAGTCAATGGTCATTGAGAATTCAATTATAATGAATTCCATACAGAAAAGGCTATTGTTTGGGGTTTAATAATTTTTTTTTCTTTTTATAGTACAAAATAAATGTAAAAAGTATCAGTGTGATATGTTGTTTCTTACAAATTACTATGGCTTACAAAATATATTTATAATTAATTTGAAATTGTATTATGATATTTAAATGAAATAATATATACGTATTGGTTGAGATTTGCAAAGCAGCCTAGAGCATGTATGCACAGTAAAATTAATGGAATATTTGTGTCTAAATCCCCTAGGCTGCTGTGCAAATCTCAACCATTGTATATCATTTGGACTTTTTTTTAACTTCCTTGATCTGAGAACTGCACAATTCTTCTCAAAGTGCTTGTCCATATAAATGTTCCTCTCTTGGTGTGTACTTGTCTCATGCACATGAGATTGAAGTCTTTGGCCAACAGTGTCTTTTGGAGCCACACTTGTGCCCTGAGTGTGTCCTTGTGCTCCTATACCAAGGGCATAAAGGGCAGAGCAGCCCAACTGCTGCTCACTTCCTTTTCACCACCTGTGGTTGCGAGATATCCATATCTAGACACATCCCTTAGCTGTTTACTCTTCTCCAGTTTTGTGTAAATATTAATCATAGAATATCAGGGTTGGAAGGGACCTCAAGAGTCCAATTAATGTCAGTTTAGGAATAGTTAATTAGAATTAGTTGTACACTGAAACATTTTTGATAAATTTTAGTTTGAAGAAGTTTTTATTTTCTTCCCTTACTGGGAACTTCTTCCCAACACTGGGGCTTCAGGGTGTCTAACTCCACGTCTCTTGATTTTAAGTAATATCCTTTCTGCAAGGCAGCAATACCTATACATGATGGTCTTACCAGGTACCTTTTTTGTTGTTGGGAATCTCATATCCCCAGTATGTGTTCCATCTGTAAATCCTTTTCTAAAAGGATTTTGAAAGCTAGGGAGGCTCATGTATAGCTGTTTTCATTGGATTGTTCTATGCGACCAACTTAAGATCAGGGTACAGCTGACTCCACTGGACAAATTTCATATCAGCACAGGAGTGCCCCTATGAGCATGGGTTCTTGGAGCTCTAATGCCCCAACTTTGGACTCAGTAGGACAGTTAAATCTAAGTCCTCACAAGGAAAGGAGCATCACTCCTTGGGTAAAGTGAAAGGCAGGTTTCCTATTAAAACCTCCAGTAAAAAGAGGTCCAAGTCACCTCACAGATCCTATTCCCAAGAGATTCCTCAGCCCAAATTGACTACTAGCTGGTACTGGACTTCTGGTACCGTATTGGCATGGTACTGGACTGCTGGTACTGTATTGGCATGCTAAATCAGTGGCTACCTTGACACCAAGTAATTCAGCTTTAGCAGCCCCTCCCTTAGACTTTGAATATCAATTTTTCTCATCTTCTGAGTCTCAGCATAGTGGACAGGAATCCCTTACTTTTTTCTCTAGGGCAACTTCCTACAAATTTTATGGGTTGGAAAAGGAATTGAGAGTTTCATTTAGATCCATATCCCATTGGGAGAATAAGGGTAGACCTCCCTGGTATCCTCCTCTGTGGCCCTTGGGTCTCCATCCATATAACATCCTAAAATGGCCCTATTGGAATCCTGGGGGTTCTTATCATCCAAGACAACATACCTATATACCACCACCTACAGGGATATCCTACTCTCGTACTTGTCAGGAACTGCAATTGCTCCATTAACAGCACATGAACCTGGCTTGAGGGAGGGATAGTGGTTTGAGCATTGGCCTGTTAAAACCCAGGGTTGTGAGTTCAGTCCTTGAGGGGGCGATTTAGGGATCTGGGGCAAAAAAAATCTGTCTAGGGATTGGTCCTGCTTTGAGCAGGTGGTTGGACTAGATGACCTCCTGAGGTCCCTTCCCAACTCTGATATTCTATGATTCATGGGAAATTTCCGAGGAGAAGCTGCCTCAGACTGGAGATGTAACTATGTTTGTATCATTCTTAGGTGAAGCAGTGCTCCCCTGTATACTGTCTCAGCTGGATTTATTTCAAATATTT